CGATTTCTGAGTAGAATCGACTATAATGCGCGTACTTTGAGTACTTCCAACTCCAAATCCGGTTTCATCCATATTATACATATCATCTAATTCATACTTTCGCTCAATGAGACGCGTGCGAAACGCGTCAAACCAAGCCTGAATATTCTCCGGAGTTGCTTCTTTAGCCCGATTAGACTCTAATTGACGTGAATAGCATGTTTTAAGTTCTGGATGTCGTTTTTGGAATCTATAGATCCATTCGTGGCCTATAGGTGGAATTTCTGTCGAGGTAGGATTTCGAGATGACGCGACCCGAACGCGTCGAAGACGAATTTCGTCGGCCATTTCCTTCACCAACATAGGTGTAGCAGGGAATCCAGTGATGGTAAGTCGTGAAATCCATCGTACAAGAGTATTTTCTTCTGCGTTTGAAAGAATTTGAGCCATTTCGTGGGTTTGGGAACGTGTTTTCTTCCCAGCCAGCCTATCAGCTAGGGTAGACTTAGGGACTTCAAAATGCTCTGCAGCCTTTCTAATTGATTTAAATTCTTTCAATTGAAGTGAAATTATAGCCTTTTGAAGCTTCTCTTCAATTTGAGCAGATGTAGAAGGTGATTGGGTATGCATAATAAAAGTTATTGCGGTTTCAAGTTGGTGATGGGCTAAAAGTGTCCGAGTTCCCCATATGTCCGAGTTCCCCATACGTTACGTTATATAAAATTCGTTTATACATAATCATATACTTTCTTTACTTATCGGTATAATTTAATTCTTTTTCTAAATATTATAATTCTCTATATAAATAATACAAATTTCCAATCAATAATTAGAAATTTAATTTTACATAATAATTATTATAAGAATAGTATGTTTATAATAAAAATCGTAACAATTTCCTCTATTTTTGAAATATAATAGAAATATTTATAATTTCTAATTATCTATATTTTTGTTATTATTAAATATGTTTTCTTTTTTGAAATTTTTTAATTGACTATTAAAATATAAATAGTAAGAAAAGATTGATTTTAGTCTATTTTGAAATGATGTATGTATTGATAGAAAAATACAAAAAAACTAAGGAAAGATTTTCTTAGAAAAACCCATTAATCTTTATTATATTTAAAGCAGAAAACCTTTTAATATTCCTTTCTATAATTATTAAGTTGATATCTATCTGAATTAAAAAGATATTATTATTAGTATTAAGAAGAGAGGTTTAGTATATTTATATCGATATTATCAATAATAAACTTATTATATTAAATATAATTAATAAAAAAGTTTAAATTATAAATTTTTATAATAATCTAGGCTTTTCAATACTTAAAAGTCTTATAAAGAAATCTTAACTATAAAGAAGAAGGTTTTTAAATATAAGAAAATGAAAAATGAAAACTTTTCAAAAGGGTTTGTTTTTTTTAAGAAATATTTTACAAAAGATAAATTAATATAGTATTTGTCATGATATACACATGATCGCATTCGATCAGATTAGTATAATATTAAGCTCCGAGTCGATTATATATATAGCTCTATAATATATTCTCTTTAGTTTTATAGCTTTTAATTTTAAGATTGATTTTTAAATGTTTACTAGATTTATTACATTATTAAAAGCTTTTTCAAATAAAAAATGGAATAATATTAATATATACTTATAAATAAAACCCTTATGTATATTCTACTTACTTTTGTTTAAATATATTATTTCTATTCTTTTATTTGTATACAAATCTTCTTAATATTATTCAAAGGTATTGTTTCTTTTCTTATTCTTAATTTCTTAATTATAAATTACAATTTAATAAACCTTACAATTATAGAACTTTGTAGTAAAATAATTTGTTAATAGAATGAAATCTTATTCCTATACTTTTATTATTCAAACATTTTCTTAATTGAAATCCTTTTTTTTAATTCTAAAAAGTTTAATAATAACTCTTAGAAATTTAATATATAATTACTCTTAATTTAAATAAAACTATAAATAGATAATACTATAATCGACAATTCTATTACTCAATTTTATTATGTTTATTTTAATTTCAAATTTTATATATAAGTTATAATATTACTTCAACTTTCTTTTTTTAATTAAAACGTTTTCTTAAATTATATAATAATTCTAAATCAATTTATATATATCTATAACAATTCAAATAAAGTATAGGAAGCTAAAGATAAGCTATTTAATTTTAAATAAAAAATCAATTCTTTATATATTTATATTACAAAATTTAAAAGAACTTTTTATAAAATAAAAGGCTAGAACTAATCTAATTCAAATAAGATCTTAATCTTTTATAATAAATTTAATATTATTCTTAGAAATTATCTTTTTTAATAGTTTTTATTATTTTATTTGTATTTTAATTTTATTTAGATTATATAATAATTAGTTATATATATAGCAAATGAATTCTCTATATTATTCTATTTTAATAAACCTAAAGTCTTTTATATTTATTATAGAATTCATTTCATTTTTAAAATTATGATTCAATGGATGTTAGTAATCTTAATGTTTTTAATGCTTTTAATACTTTTTTGAATAAAATCGATTATATTTTAATTCTATTTTATATTAAAGTACTTAAATTTTCTTTTATTGAAAGAATTCAATTATATAAGAAAAACAAGTATATTTAATATGGAAATACTTTTTATTAAGTATAATTCTACTTACTTAATTTATATTAAAATATTCAAGATTGAAAAAATCTATTTCAATTATTACATTTATTTCTATTAACTTTTATAACAATAATAATAATAAGGATTTAGGTGAGGTAATTAATGGCTAATATTTTGAAAATTATTTAAAAAAGATATAAACTTCTATTAATACTTTTTATTTAATAATGATATATTTAGTTTTTCAAGATATTTTATAAAAAATTAATAAAGAAAATGGTAATAATAATAATAATAATAAAATTTATTAATTATATTTTATACTTAAGTTATTTGTTTAAAGTAAATTTGAGGCGAATTTCTCAAAAAAAAAGAATAATATTATAATATATATATAAGTTAATCATATCCAATTAAATTAGTATAACATTAAGCTCCAAGCTGATTATATATATAGCTCTATAGTACACTCTCTTTAATTCTATAGCTTTTAATTCTAAGGTTGATCTTTAAACGTTTATTAGGTTTGTCACAGTATTTAATATCCTATTAATATATTTATAGCTATTTTATATAAATGAAAAGAAAAGCCAGACCTTTTGAAAAACATTTATAATATGTCCGATTCAGGTGTATAGTATTTTATATTAGTATATAATATTATTCCAAAATATTGATTATGATACTATTATTTTGTATAGTATATGATATATTACCGATTATAACTAAAGGAATAATGATTCTTTAATATAGAGTATATATTATTAAAATAATAGTATTCTGATATTATTATATTGATTATTTTGATCTTATTCAATCATTTAGTTTTATAATATAGTTTTATTTTTTATATTAATAAAATGATTCAGTAGGTCTTAATATAATATATTCTATATCGATAAAGTAATCTAGTAAAAGAAAAGGGAATAGGAGATATTAAGCTTTAAAAAGAAATTATATATTATTAATGTATTATAGGAGAATGTGGATATATAATTTATAAATAATAAATTAGAGATTATAATAGAACAATCTTTAAAGGACTCGAAATATTAGAAGATGAAGATAATCCTTCAAAAGGGATATGATATTATTATTAATTATAACTTTTATAATATTTTAAAAGGAGTTGAATAGAAAAAAAGGGATTATTATAATAAAGTAGAAAGTTTAAGGTTTTTATAAATATATTAGAGGATTTATAAATGAAAGCTTTTTGAATAGAATAGGTATATAATATAGACGATTTGAAAAACTTAAAAGGATTGCTTAGAAAATTGCTTAAGAATTTTAATAAATTTTTTTTAAAAGCGAATAGATTTTTATTTCTTTTTCTCATCTACTTTATTCAATTAGAATCATATATAAACATATTATATAATCTTAGTATAGCTTTATAGACCGAATCGATTATGAATTTACTACAATTATATATTGATATAATATATATATGAATACTAATCTTTAGGATCTAGTAAATAGCTTCAATTCATTAGCTACTATATTACAGTCTTTAGCGAATGCGGAATACAGTAGTCTCAAGTGAAAGCAGAAGAGACTAGCTCCTCTTGTAGCGTCTATATAAAACCTACAACTTCCTGTAACTTGACTAGCTCTTTAGATAGAATACAATATAGACATTTAGGACCTACGAATACCATGAGTACTACATCTTCCGTATCCTTCTCGAACCAATAATAAATGTACTAATAAATTACGTTATTATTTATTGTTTGTTATTTATTATGAAATCTATATAATGTTATGTAATGTAATGTAATGAGATGTGAAATGATATAATGTAATACAATACGATGTGGAATTTATTGTAAAATTTAAGTAATATAATATTATAAACTATATAAATGTTTATACTACTTGAAGGGGATTAGAATTCGAATCACCAGGTAGAGTACTATAAAAGTCTATATAAAAGAAATAATACAAATTTAAATAATCTATATAAAGATATAATTCTTCTCCTTCTTACAAAGAATCATGTGATTTGCTTAAGCACGTGATCGTACGTTCCGATAATAAACCTTGAATATTCTTTAAAAAAAACCTAGAAAAAATATAAGTAAATTTAAATTTAATTTAGTTTTTTCTTGTAATTTAACTTTAAGTCGACTATTATTTTATATATTTCTAAAAGTCTAGAAAGAACTAAGTCTTCTACTACTATTGAATTATTATTATTATTATTATTCGAGAATTTAATCTTTAAGAATAATAAATAATATTTATAATATTTATATATTTATATATTTATATGTTTATATTTGTAAATTTATAAATTAGTTAATACTTATATATGTATGTATATATGTATGTATGTATGTATGTATATGTGTGTATATGTATGTGTGTATATGTATGTGTGTGTATATATGTTTTGATTAATATGAAATATAATTATATTATAAATAAATATTAACAATTACGATTATCATATTCATTATATTCATTCATCATATTCATCCATTCATCCATCCATCCATCCATCTCTCTATCACCATATCTATGAACAGTCATTCATCAACGAATTAGTCGGCCATTCATAGCCTGTTTGATTCCATGCCTATTGGTTGTAGAGGGGAGTTGTTAGCTGGGGTCTTTGTTGTTTGTTTGGCTTGGTCTGCTTTTTCTTTCTGTTTTGTTCTGTTTTGTTCTGTTTATTTTGCTGGGGAGTAGAGATAAAGGGGGTGGATAGGTAATTTGATGAGCAGGTGGGTAGTTTGAAGGGTTTATTTATATGCGTGTGTGCGTGTGTGTGATTGTGCTTGGGGGGAAAAGGGGGGGAAAGGGAAGGGAAGATAAGGAGAGGAGTACGTAATCAAAGCAACATACCGTCAAATTCGCATTCCGATACGCCACCGGATGTTTCTCAATATACTCCGTCGTCTCCCAACCTTCCGGATCACACGTGACACTCTCCTTGCCCTCCCTCTGATAAATCCTCACATAATCCACATGCATGGTGGTCGGAAACCTGAGATCCCCTAATAAAATCTGACTCCAGGCGCCACTAATCCCCAGATTCAGAATCACACTCATGGGTTCCTCGCTTACGAGTCGCTGGGCGACATTTCCATTTTGACCGATGGCGCGACCGTCCATCATGAACGTTTGTTCGTCGCCTACGAACCAGGCGATTTTCCCCGTCGAGGAAACGCCGGGTGTGTATTCAAATGCGTATTTTTGGTATTGGAGACCATCGTACCAGTTATTGTTGAGAAGGGTGGTGCCGGAGATCGCTTGTTGAAAGGGACCGCCGCAGTAGGCATTCATATTTGTGGTGTTGTAGTTGAGGATTTGGAGGAAAGCGTGATTGGGACGATAGAAGATGTCGAAGGGGGCGACTTGGAAGGATTGGGTGACGACGCCGATGCGATTATTGGGATCGACGCTTCCTTCCAGGACGTCGATTTCGGGGGCGCCGCGACCCGTTCCCGGGGTGGGGTGGTCTTGGCCTTTGCAGGTGCAGGAATTGAGTTTTTGACCGGGGAGCTCGGAGAGTCCATCGGGAGAGGATTGGTTGGGGGTGATGCCGTAATCGCAGGAGTTGTAGGTGTAAGGCCATACACCTTCGGTGGTGGCTTTGTAGCCTGGACGACCTAAATTTCCCATGGACCAGACACCGGGCCAGAGACCAGGAACTGCCGAGGGGCCTGGAAGGGAGATGGATACTTCGAGGATACCACCTTTGAAACAAAGTTGGTTCCAAGAATTAAGCATACCGGATTGGTATCCGAGGTTATGGTTTGCAAAAGCATCCATGCGTAATTGAAGAGTACCTCCTCCGGTTGTGACGGCTACGGGATCTATAGGAGTATTAGTATATGAGTAGTGAATACTTTTTTCAAGATTTAAAGTTTAGAGCGCCATGCATCATTCGGAAGACATGGGAACCAAATCTGATATGCTCGTCATGCATGCCAAGAACCCCACAACCTTAATCCCACCTTTATTTTCTCGGTTCTTCTCTCGCCTCCTCTCTTCCCCTTGATTTTCGCCAAACCTCAAAATCCAATACACAAACCTTCTCCCTCAATCACCATCCCCATCTTCCCAAACAAAGAGAAAATCTCAAAAACTCACCATACCACTCCATATCCTGCGTAGCCCCATACCAAATATTCGGCGCCGTCCAAAACGGATCATCCCCAGGATAAAAAGTTCGATTATTATTATTAAATTCATCCGAGAAGACGAGATTGAGAGTTTCTCCATTAAATGTTGATTGTCTAGTTCTCGAAGATTGGGGTGTGTCGGGATCGATTAAGGTTGTGCGAACATTGCGCAGGAGGGGATAAGTTCTCTGTTGGGGGAGTTAGAATGAAAGAATCGGGAAGAGAAAGGGTACAGATTGAGAGAAAACCAAAGGCAAGACAAAGAAAGACCAAACTAACATTATTAACATGCGCCCAGGCCGGTCCATAATCCACATAGTTCCCACCACCCCCTCCCCCCGTCCCCCAAACCCTCGTCGTGAAAGTTAACACCGGCAACAAGATAAAAACGCAAAGTAACCCAATAACCATAAAAACCGCTCCAATAGCATTTATCAAACTTTCCTTTCCATCCACTCATGAAACGTCGGTTTAAAATCCCGATCATCATTCTCATTTGGCATGTGAAGATTATCATCATCTTCAATCTCATCATCATATAATATAAATCCCTTTTCACCTCCGAAATAGGGATCGAATGCTGCTACGCGGTCGTCAGGATAATTCCATTTTTCAGGATTATCAATGAGAGCGGTGCTGGAATCGCGAAACGGGTTTCGGGGTATAGGAGAAGATAAGGAGTCGGATGATGTAGATGCTTCTGATATGAAAAGTGGGCAAGGAGCGTTTAGTTCCGATCCATATGAAGATGGTCTGCGGGAATTGGGATAGCGAGAGTAATCATGGCCTAGATCTTTTAATCCTTTTGGTGTGCCCGTTCGTGATGGATCTCCCATCTGTAAGCCAATTCCTGCCAATTCTGATTTGCGTCTCAGAAGTTGCTGAGGAGAACTAAGACCCTTTCCTCTCTTATTTGTATTTTCGTCAGTTGGTGTATTTCCACTCGAATTTGTCGATGTGGGAAGAGGTAGATCTCCAGAAGAAGAATAACCTGCAGGTGAAACCGTACCACCCATTAAACCACTTTCGTTTCGTCACTACTATTGACTGTTGTTGATGAAGTCGAAGGATTAAGAGGAGATGGGATAACTGGCAAATATGATTTTCGATTCATACTTAAATTAGATGCACGTCGTTCCATGGGTGGAGTATGTGAAAGTCTGCGTGAATCCGGTCTGACGATATCTGTAGTAGAACTAGGTGAATTCGATGGGCCCATGTTGAGATCTGTTGCTAACGAGACATTGGAACGTCCAGCTTGAACCATTTCCATAAGAGGTTGTTGAGAATTGCGCATCTCAACCTTTGCAGGAGGAGAGACTTTTCGTAATGGTGACATTGTGTGTGGAATCTCTCACTTGATTTGTTGAACCAGATAATCAAATCTCCAAGTACCTCTCAAGTTAATAATTCCAGTTAAACCAAACTAAACACAATATACTTTATAAAACCTACATAAAATCGAATTTCCCAGCAGAAATTTCATCAAGAAATTGTTCATACATCAAGTAGTGAATAATCAGCCATTTCACTCAAGTAACCCAACCCTCACAGTCAAAATCGCATTGCGAATTTGGCGAACGACACAACCACACAACCCAAAGCAATCTGCCAAGAGCCTGCGTGACGTTTTGAATCCGAAGATATCTATAAATATAAATAAATAGATATTTTCCGAAAACGACAAAGGAGGTTCCGAAAATTCTAGAGCTGTCCGGAATTGGCTATGATGTACTCGAGTATTTTTATCGTATGGAGCTTTGGAATGTGGAGTTGGTGACTGATAAAGAGCTTTCGGTGGAGAACTTCCCCAGAATTGAAGATCAAGCTTAAGGTTATTGGGACTTCAAAACGAAAGAAGGAAGAAAGAATTTATTTATTTATTTATTTATTTATTTATTTATAGGAATTGAAACGATTGAGAGTATATCAATAGTAATTATCTATCGTGTTGATCACCGATGATAAAGCTCTAGAGATATATATGCGAAAGCGACAGTGATGATTTAGATGAAGTGAAAACGACAGGAGAGTGGAGACAGAAGGCGAAGAAGAGGAGGAGGAAAATGGAGAAGGGGAAGGGGAAGAAATGGAAAGAAACCAAGATAATGAAACGAAAAGCAGCTCATGCCTAGTAAAATACCTAGCTAGTCCTCGTACATACACTCACAAGTCTAAGTGACTGCAAGTGCTAAAGGATAAATTCCAACGCAATGCACATATACATACATACCTAGTATAGACATACATACATACATACATACCTAGTACAGACATACATACATACATACATATCTAGTACACACATACCTATCTACCTATCCGTCACTACCCACCAATTAACCTTTACAAGTTCACAACCACCCAATCCCATCTCGGTTACTCTTCTCCTTTAGATAGAATCGAGTCGAAATGTCGAATATGCACGTGGAAAGAAAGCCATATCTCTTGTACCGGTATACTTTTGCGAGTCCGTGGGTGGTGTATCGTATTCAGATACTTTGATATCTATCTAATTGCAAGATAGAGATATGGTATCGAGGTGAAGATATCCATATATATCAATTCGATATCCAAATATTCAATCAATTTTCATTCTACCGTCCATTCAACAAATACATAAAGATTCCCTGGCCAAAACAATACTCACCACACACCATCACACACCAAAGAAGCTCCACAAAATCTACAACCTATCTCATACCCTCGCCCATCCCAACGCCACTAACGAACGTTATATGCGTCTAACCTTCCTCACCCTTCTACCCATCCACGCCATCTGCGGATCCACCCACTAGTACCGACCACACAAACAAACAACCTTGGAAATAAACAAGGAAAGCCTTATCTCGCTTTTGATTCTTAACCCATGACATAATACAATACAAACAATACATACAATACTTTCATTCAGTACATCCCGCTATCGATTTCAATATATACCGGTACATATACACATACATACGCATGCATTTTATATCTCATACCTACCTACCTACTTTTCATACTTTTCATACCGTAGTATAGTAGCTAATTTTTGGGCATACTTATAAGTTATATATAAACATACATATACATATACACATACATACATATATACATACATACATACATACATACATACATACATACATACATATATACATATATACATACATACATACATACATACATACATACATACATACATACATACATACATACATACATACATACATACATACATACAAATACCTACTAAATAGAGTATATGACGAAATCAAACTTCAACTCCAGCCTTTAACTTTATTAATTCTCCATTTTTGCCTACCTAGCTCATTCACACAGACATATACAAATACAAATACATATACCATCGTATATCTATTGTCCGCACACCTGAGAATGCTTAATCAATCCTCATGCTCTCCTAAGCACTTCATGAAGATCATCTGTGCGTCCATTCATTCCGGATTTCCACATTTCCATACTTCATAATCCGTAATCCATCCCTCACTCGCTCATACAGTATACACGTAGAACATACATACGCCTATTACCATCCTCTTTTTCTTCCTTCCGAAAATGTTGTGTCCATCATCAATCAATTAATTGTGTTCCCACAAACCCCGCTCTCTCCAAATTCATCACTTTTCGTGTCTTGAATTCCAGACTTCTCATTCATTCATTCATCCATTTCCTTCCATTCCATTCCAATTTCGAGTAATATCGATGCAGAACACGTAAAACAAATCCCCATTCTCGAGCAATTTATTCATAAACTTTTCTCTCTGTTCCATCCCTCCATACCCTCCAGCCCAAAAGCTAATTCAAAATCATCATGCCCAACCAATGAATCTCGAGTTCTATAAATTCGGCAACGAATTCTTAACTTCTCTTCGGAAGATGCAAATCCGCTCTGTTAAGTCTGACAAACCACGTGGTTGATCTCCTCGTGTAATATCCCTACATATATGTATATGGGCCTCATAGACACCCAAGTAATTAATAAGCTCTAGCTAGCTCTTCTCATGTCAAGTATGTAGCTCAAGGACCATGTCGAGAATCTTTGCGCAACAATGCGTTTTGTTGCCGAACGACTTCCTCTTCATCATCTTCATTATCCCATCCCAGAACCGACTTCAACGAATTCAATTCTTTTTGTAGTTGTTGGAGTCCTCCTGCCACTCCGCTTAGAACAGTAAAAAATTGTTTTTGCGTAGTCTTTGGGATGTCGTCGATAAGGGCCCGTTCTTTCATCATGGAACCGTCAGCTGAGATGGGATATTGAACAATTGGATTATTGGGAAAATTATGCATTGGTATCGGCTGGGCGAATTGATGATTTTGAAGAGGTGGACCTCCCTGTTGCATGCCTTGTTTAATCGCAGGAGTTTCGTAGAATCGTGGTCGATGCAATACTATTGGAGCTGTTCGTGAATGTTGCCCATTTGCGCCGGGTTCGCCTTCATCCATATTTCCTTGATCGAGTTCTTCGCGGGCAATTTGAGCTTGTAACAGGGAATCCAATTCTGCTTCTTGAGCTTCCTTCAATCCGGGGGTTCTTAATGGTGGTCGTGGTATGGATGGAAGAGGTGGGTATGGACTGACATAATGACCTGGTGAATTGAATTTACTGAATATGCTGTTCTCCTCTTCAATGGTTGGCTTTTCGAATTCGGATCGCTTTCGCTTGGTGGAGGGGTCGGGTTTTTCCGTATATCTTAAAGCTCTGGCATCTTGATCTCCTACAATTGTAACATCCAAGGGTTAGTAAAAGTATTCTCACCAGACAAGATCATAAAGCATAGGATGTAAATACCCAGATTTTTAATTCTCAAACTGCATTTATTCCCTTTACTTGTAAAAATACAAGTTGCGCAAGCTCCTTGAAACCATTCGTCCAACACAATACAGTGAGAGAATCGTCCATAGCCCTGTTTACAATGCGAACATGGGTTTGTCATGATTCTTCCTCTGGTGGCTACCATACATGCACCCCTCTGCTGAACGCGTTGACTCTCAGTCGATCTTTCCGGTGGTAATTCCTGGTCTTCGCGCCATGGTAGATCGCGCATTTCGGGTAGAACTTTGATGCGGTCGAGGAAAGTCGGCTCGTTTCTATGATTTCCAAGTGAGTAGTACTTATCGTTTGCGTCGTCTGCAGAGGTATCTCCAACGCTTAATTCTCGTCCATTGACTCTTTCCTCATTCCTATTTTCTGGCGATTGTCCGTTCTGTGGGTAGTTCTGTCCTGGACCTCTCTCTGGAGTCTCACTCATTTCTACATCATCCGTCATATCCACTCTGGACGAAGGCGCCCTATGTCTCCTGGGACGCATATTTCTTTCCTCTCTTTTTCGTTTTGATTTTCTTTCTGGTGACGGCGAAGTTGAATTTGCTTCAGAAGGATTGCGCGGTTCAGGAGTTGGCGCGTAGTCGGCAGGCTGTCGCGTCCAGAGTCCTGGTCCGTTGGCTGAATATCTTGTTTTGGTAGATGCGTTACCTCGGTCGCGAAGTTCCATTTTATATGATGTGGTTTACTAGCTGGTCAGCGGGACTTGACAGCGAGAGATTTTGTTATGTGCAGAGCTAAGTAAGTGATTTGTCTAGCTTGAGGTGGTTAGGCCTAAGCGATAACCTTAAATTTTGCTCTTATCAGTGTGCCTATGTTCCGAAACCGTACATTTAACTAGACTGACTCGGCAAAGGGTTCCTAGACAAAATTATGAATTAGATGTAAAGCATCACCGTGAAATCGATTCCTCAATTCCTTCCCTAACAATACAGGATTCATAAAGCGTGAATTGAGAAAATCTTTTGATTCAATATTATCTGTTGAAGCTCCCTAGGTACCTACTTGAAGGGGATTTGATATCTTGACTTCAGGGCACAGCTTGAACGCTCGCATGTTTTCGCTTATGAAGAGATTCTTCATCGAATTAGCTGATCTCCTACATTGGGCATCTAGAGTTCATTTTGAAGTCTTTTCAGAGCACTGCAGATATCATATTACGACTACTGTATCATTTGAATCACCTGTAACATCGTGAGATTATCAACAAGTATGAGTTCTAGATTCACGCATTTTTATTGCTATTAGGTTTAATATAGGCTACTTTACAAATTGTATGTACGCTCATGCCGTAATGCTTGTGAAATTCAGAATATCATCAAAGCAACATATCAATTATCATCATCCTCCACGCCAAGTGTTTTCTTCAACGTATTAAGTTCTCTCTGAATATTATCAATACCTCCTTGAAGACCACTGATAATTCCCATTAGCTGTAGTTGCTTTCGCTTTGGCAAAGTCTCTATGAGTGGAGCCGCGGCAAAACTTAGTCCATTCGGAGTAGTAACAAAAGTTGGTTGGTATTCTCGTTGTTGACGTTTGTTGCCCGCTTTCTGGGGTGGGGGTTGTGATATAGTTGATCCATTACTCATGATAACTTGTTGCTGGCCTGCAAAGACGCTGGGACTGTGATTAGGTTGAACTTGAAATTGCGGATGGGGTAGTTGAGGTTGCGGATGGTGTTGGGGTAGGGGTAGGGGTTGATGTTGGGGTTGGGGTTGATGTTGGACTGGCGGTGGAGGTGGAGGTGGAGGTGGAAATGGAGATTGGTATTGCGCCTGTTGCTGTTGCTGGACTTGGGCCTGAATCTGCTGTTGTTGTACTTGAGCTTGATGTTGCTGTAGTCTAGTTTGAGGGGGTTGTTGTGGTTGAGCTTGTGGTTGAGCTTGTGGTTGAGCTTGTGGTGGTTTGGCTTGTTTCGGGTCTGATTTATCTTGCTGTTGCTCTGGCTTGGACTGCTCATGTTGTGGTTTTGGAATTTGTGGTCTAGGTAAATTTGGAAATGTAGGTTGGGATCCTGCTTGGGTTTGGTTGACAGAGGCCCAAGTTGTAGATGCCGGTCTACTCGGAGCTGACTGAGGAGTACCTGCACTTGGAGTATTGCTTGGCTTTCTGGTTGGTTCCTTGGCAGTCGGTTCCTTCTCGGCAGATTTGCCAACAGACTTGCGTAAACCGCCGTTTCGAGTGTTGGGTGTGGACGAGTTGCGCGTAGCCATAGACGGAGAATTGACAGGTGCCCATGAGGATAAAGATGAACGAGGTGGGCGCCCTCCGCGCGTCTTTGTAGATCCCAAACCTGTGTCTACTACAGGAGGTTCTTGCCATCCCGTTTGAATTGGCTTTTCTGGTTCTTCGACACGGGCTTTCTTTGCTGGCGGACCAGAATGGTTGTTTTCTTCGGCTTTATTTTTTGTACTAGATTTATCTGGCGTCTCTTTGACGGCATTCTTTGCTGATGCTCTCCGTGTACTTGAGGATTCAGGTTCTGGAGTTACACGAATTCCGTCTTCTGCAGTAAATTCATCGGGTTCGACTAGATCGGCATGCAATTAGTAATTGGTGTTAATTTCTTGGAAAGAAAAACTTACTTTCTTCATTAGTCTTGATGCTGCAGCGGTTTGGTCTGCCACTTAATTGACAGCTAGCGCATGCTCCCTTGAAAAATCCTGGCAGTGCGATACATAAGGTGAACTTTCCCCGAGCATTGGCACATGAGAGGCAAGGATCCTCAACTACATTGCCTCGAGTTGCGAGTAAACAACCAAATCTAATTTGCTTCCTACGGGAATCTCCTCCAGTCTCGATCTCAGAGCCCGCTTCGACTCCTTCCCTCCAAGGTAGAGCACGTTTTGCAGGCATCATTTGTAATCTTTCCTCCATTGTTGATGAGTTTGGATCTCTGAATGAAATTTGATTTAAATACTTCGGAGGTGTGCTGGGGCTATATCGTTTAGATGCTGAACTGGGCGTCGCGATCGCAGGTTCGTCAGCCAGTTCTGGCTCCGGCGACTCGAGGTTTTGAGGACTAACGGCCGCCATTTTGTTTCGTGGTGCGAAATCAATATCAGATCCTATTGATTCAGGTGAAGATGGTGCTGCCCACTCATCATCACCATCTTTATCAACAACGATAGTATCGCTGTCTCGAGATCGTCGTGGGGGCATGTTTTTAAGTCGCGTTGATCGAGACGTAATCGGTCGCGATATTTATAAAATCCCAAGGTGAAATTAGATCGTTCTAATCCTTGTATGGAATATAAATATTTGCCGCTTTTATCTCTTATCGGGACTGCACGTCAGGCTAGAAATTTGTTGGAATGGTCCAAAGTGAGATTGGATATAATTGAAGAATTTTCCCGGTAGACAACAATAATGAATATAAAAAGGGTTGGGTAATGTGAATGATTCACAGCTGAGTACAGCACAGCAAGGGCAGGTTTATCTACTTGGTCGGTAGATATTTTAGTTCGGAATTAGTTCTTTTAGTACTTTCTCTATTAGGTAAAGGTCTAGAAGTCTATCCATCGCCAAAATTGATAACCCAGAAAACTAATTGCCTTGATCGGCGATTAATGGATCTATGGTACGATTTTCTTCTGAAGGGTAGTGAATAGTCTCTTGTATTTCTATCTTGTTGGGCGCGTGACACGCTCGCTATGCTTACAATGCGTCATTTCTCCTATGGTAGCCATAATCTAGACTACCCTATGCTAATATGTTACGTTCGGTTGTATTACGAATGTACAACAAGGTGTCTATTATTTCTTGGCCTCCTCCTTGGTCAAGGCCAATTGGTCCTTTTCCTCCCTCGTTTTCCTTTTAGCTTCCAGATCATTTTCTACTTGCCAAACTGCTCGATCAAGTTCCATTTGCAATTCTGGTATGTCTAATGCTTTGGCAATTTCCTTTCCATCAGAAGCATGAAGTAGCATCGTCTCAACATCCGATACATTCGAATTTGATGATAGTGTATCAGCCGCACTTTTCGAGTCGGGAGACGGAATCTTGTTATTCAAATATAACTCGTCTAATATCTTGGATGGCTTGGGTGCAATGAGATTTTTCTTCAAAAGGAAGTCAATGTGTTTAGACCCTGCTAACGCTTTCCAATGACTATATGCACGAAAGCAGAGATAGAAGAAAGGTAAATTTGGGATACTGAGTGATATTAGCTCCCGAATATTATCGGCGAGGCTATAGCTGCACTTACATCGGAACAAGTGCGAAAGGAGCAACCAAAGGCATTCCAATGATTGAACCCCATAACCTCGTCTTATGAAGTTGCCTCCTCTCTGTGCCAAGTATCTGCAAGATTTTCGAAATGCTTTCCTGTGGAAGAAAATTTGAGGGAAATGAGATCTCAACTTTCTCTCTATCGCCCAACTCTTCTGCTCGCCTTCGTTTAGACAAGGGAGGAATCGATTTTAAACCCCATTCCTCATATGGTATCCTTTGCAGAGCCTTGTTCCCAAACTCGACCACCTTCTTCTGCCATCCTGATTCCTTCTTCTCCCAACTACTCCAAAGATTATTCGCCTTTGTAGTTGTCTTATCTAGTAGGGAAACCTCATTTGTAGTGGTGGCATTGAGTCGCTGGCAGTAAATGAGGGTTCGCCTTGTGGAGATGGGAAGTAGGTAGAGGCGCATAGTTCGTTTTTCGTGGACCAGCAAATTCGATGGAAAATTTATACAATCATACAATTCCGTTCCTCGAGATGGGTATTATGTCGTACGAGATCGTTAGGCGTTATACGTAAAATGGCCGTTATGCGTCTGCGCGTGAATTGCCGTTTGTTACTTCAATTGCATTGAAGTATGTATGAAAGTTAAGATGAGAAGATGGTGCTGGTTAGGTGAGTAGCGTTTTGCACTTCTTTCTTTCTTTCTCTTTTTTTCACTGATGAAAACTACCGGTAGATGAACATCAAGCTACAAAAAAAACCTAAAAATCGAAAACCTTTTTGCCTGGATTCATGGAGGCTGAGCTAAGATAAGATCCATTTTCACACTTGTAGGTAGGCAGAATGACGCATGAGAATAACCTTGAATACCTAGTGAATAAATACCTAAATATTTTCCAAGTGGGGGAGAAGAAAAGGTTGATCTAGATAGATGTGTACTAGGTAGGTGAGTGAGGAGTGAGGAGTGAGATGATAGGCTCGATAGGTATTTTGAGTATTTGGTGGGAGAAATGGTGGGAGGGGAGGGGGAGGGGAAGGGAAGGAAAGGAGGCGAGGAAAGAAGTGGGTGAAGATTCACCAATACGACACGATGCAAGTAATATCTCACTAGGTAGAGATGTTATTACCTGCCTGATCCATATATAGAGTGCCACGTGAGGATCTACTCACCTAGCAGGACACTATGAAGATCGTGAATATCGTGAACACCTTGAATACCATGAATATATATGTATACACTAAGTGTATATATATATACATATACATACATATTCACAACACTGCCTACAATTATAGACACCTAGTAGGGAATCCTTATAAAGCTTGGAGACTCCCCCATGCTCCCAAACTCCAATTTATACCTTGAATTGTCTTATTATCATCATTTTTATCCTTATTATCATTCCTCACCCCCTTGCTCTCCCATCTTCACAGCGTTTCGTTTGTGGTAATAATCCATAAAATCCATGTAATCCCATAGATGTTTAATGGGCTTGTGTGGTCCTCCGTAGATCATTTAATCTTTTATTCATAGCTACAGAATTGCAACTACATCTCTAATCTTAAACTAACCGCGAAACAAACATCCAAAATTTCAATCCCAACTTCCTCTTGTCACTTTCTTCAATTCTTTCTTCTAATTCATTATTCATTCATACACTCATTTACTCAATTCTTTTCCCCCTCAATCAAATCAACCAATTTCCTTTCTTATCGTATTCAATTCATAACTAAAAGCTAATTCGTGTTTCAATTCTTATTACGAGAGGCAACAATGCAGGAATAGGAGAGGGGTCGACCGCGATTGAAGCGTCGTTCAGGGTTGCTCCATCGCGTGTTAGGACTTGAAGAAAGAATTGCAAAAAGTGTCGAAAATTTCAAACGTCTTAACTCTGCGACACACAAATTGGGGAGGATCCTAGTATTATGGCAACATCAGATAGATTGCCACGGACCACACCAGGCCTGGGACTGCCATTCGAAGCATATAATAATAATTTTCAACATGATTCCCTTTCAGTCCCACATCAATTCTCGGATTCTGCGAGCGTCGGTTCATCGGAGAATGTTGCCATGAAAGGGAAAAAGAGAGCTGGTTCTCAGCATGCTGTTCGACCCAAAACCTACTCGTCCGCCTCATATAGGACCTACAGTACGCAAAACACACAATCGACAACTAGCACGCATGCACAGAATCGAGCAGCTCAAAGAGAGGTTCGTTCACTTCCTTGTAAGTTATTGGCCCACAGTCGAATTTTCGACCTGAGCTTACCTGTCAAAAGCCTGGATAGATTCATATGAAGAGGACGATCCAGCATCGCTACAATCCAAAAGAGTTTCCACCCCTTTGAGAATACATCCAGCACAGCATAATTCGACACCAACTCAATCTTCGCGAAGAATATCTCTCGATGGATATGTTGAATCCGATGATGATACGTATAATGCCATAAGCGACAAGAAAGTAGAGACGGGATTCTTTGGAGGTCTGCGCGAACCGGTCAGAGGTAGGAAATGGGATCATGCTAGAGACGCGGAACCTGTCATTCTCAGAGCCGGGGTACAACCAAATGCAGCTGTATGGCGAACCTTTATCAAAGCATCATCGTATGGTGTGCCCGAAGGAGAGGATCGCAAATTAGTCGATCAGTCATTTTTAAATAATTTAACTCCCGGTTACGATAGACCATGGTGCGGGGATCTTGAGAAGGGTGAAGGTGACGATGACGATAACATTACATCTCTCATATACAACAAAAGGAAACGGGAAACCTTTTTGAAACGCGTGCAGGTAAGCTCCACTCTCTACTTTTGTAATGAATGATTGGCTAACAGCATCTAGCAAACCATTCTCATGAACCCCTATGTTCCCCTTATCTTTCGACTCATTGTGCTTATAACTTCAATAATCGCCTTGAGCATTGCAGCCTCGGTTCATCATCTTTCGAACAAATACTCCTATTCTCAAAGTCCATCTACAACTATGGCAATTGTAGTAGATGTGATTGCAATTCCGTATACTCTCTACATGACCTGGGATGAATATACGGGTAAACCTTTAGGCCTTCGAGCACCGAAAGCCAAAATTCGACTCGTTCTTTTAGATCTCTTTTTCATTATTCTTGAGGCTTCTAATTTGACATTAGCTTTTGATGCGATATCAGATGATAGCGGGAGCTGTAAAGTCGGAAATACGGGATACAACGGTGTGGTATGCCATAGAGCTAAAACACTCTGTGCCATAATAACTATAGCATTGCTCGCATGGGGAATGACTTTTGCAGTTAGCATATTCCGGTACGTTCCCTCGTCTGAGATTTATATCTTTTCATCGTTGCTAATGTTTCTTCCAGGCTTGTGGAAAGGGTGGGTGGTCGAGAAGAGGCCGAATGAGTACATACTATCTCTGTCTCTTCAGACAATATTTTTTTCTTTAGTAAATATGGGCCAATTGAAGGCAAGGCGTTGGGTATATATCAGTTGGGTTGAAAAAATAGAAAAGCAAAATTTGTACATTGGAATTGTTTTATATGTCAGCGAGCACTGAGACTTGAAGCTACTCTCATCGTCTCAACACTAATGCGATAATAGGAGTAGATGAGAGCGCCTTTTTCATTTGTCATAACATCATTTAGATATAGATCTAAAGCATGCGAAGAGAAACTTTATTTAAACGCCAATCAGGATGTTTTAAGCCACGAAAGCCTATCATTTATCTCGTCCGCGCACGACTAAACTCGTCACACATATTCTTGGGCTCTAACGAATGGCGTGTGTTGGAGAAATCTGAAAATGTTTCTACAGCTTTAAATGGCTTCATCTATTTGAGTGATAGCTGCTTCTTCGCAAGCAGCTTCCCCGCACAAATTTCATGTACCTATGTGCCAATATTTGTAGGTCTCCTCGATGAATTATGAGCAGCACAGAGAGACTACTTCGTAATGAGTAACTTTACCCGACTCCAATGTGAATGGCATTCTGCATGGTTTCTCCTTTCTCATTCTAAATTAATAGAATTGCATTTACAGTAACATCGCTGTCTTTGATACTCATCCGGTATAGCCCCCCTGTTAACACAATGGAAGTTCTGGGAACGATCTAGATCACATTCTCATGCATTAGTTGACCTTACGTAATCTAGCCCGCATGTATATATACACCCCCGGCGGCATGTCGCATGCAGCGTGATGGCGATCAAACTTCTGGGAAGCTGTCATCCCACTACAGAGACTTAGTTTACTTTACATTCTCTTCGATCTTTTGTGTACTTACGTTGATTCCAGTTAACCGCTTTTAATTTTGAAGATATTTGGATTTCAAACCTTGAGAGAAGTAGGTACATCAATTCAACTCACCGTTAGCGTACATATACCTAGTCAAGGTTAAGCTCGGTGAACTGCCAAGGAACAAAGACATCGGCCAATATCAATTTGAGTTCTTGAATAGATTATCTGGGTAAAGCAACCAAGTGAGGAAAATTGAAGTCTGCCCTTTCAAGAAAAATCAATTACAAAATCCGTCGGTCAATAGTAACAAGCGCAACTACTCGAGAGGTAAGACATGCGCCAGAGACATGATGATCTTGCTCAATAAACCATGACAATGGGTGGTAACAATTCTGAAGCCAGCTTCATGAACAATGGCCACACTATGCCCAACGGCGGTCATAACGGTAGTCGGCTCACTCTGAGTAATGAACTTTCAAGGCCGGGTCTACTGAGAATTGGGAGATTCAAGTTCAGAGCAAAGACGGATGATCTACCACAGTTCGTTGAGTTCATCTTCTTTGCTTGATTTTATACACTAACATATAGTCCAATAGAGATTGGTGGGTTGCATCAACTGCATTCCCTCTCATCGCTGCCACAATTGGACCCTTGGCAAATGTTTTGTCAATCTCCGCTCTGGTTACAAAATGGAGGGCTGACCTACCCGATGATGGACAATTGCCATTTGGTGCTGACGAAAATGGCGTTGGCATACCTGATCCAGAATGGTGGGAGATCTTTGAAGAAACTCACGAATGTTACTAATTCGAGATTTAAGGGAAATCATCCTTAATGCTATCTCTCTTGGATGTGGGTTTGCTGGCAATCTTTTCTTGCTCCTAAACTTTATGCGCAGGGTTAGGTATATCGTCGCATTACCTCTATCGATAATCTTCTGGTACTTGTCTACTGGCATCGTGAGTCTGAGGTCCTTGTGCTGATTTCAACTCTAACATGTATTTCATAGCTTATTGGTATCTTATTAGCTATGAACGAGTACGTCCCACCTATTCGTCCTGGTCAAACTTGGTCTCAGGGATTCTGGTCCGCAGTCATGGCAGCTTCATTATATTTCATAGGATCAATGGTTCTCATGGTCAATATGCTTGGCTATTTCCTAGGGCATTACCCACAACATTTTGAACTCGACGACGATCAAAGAACTTTGATCTTACAAACCATGATGTTCTTTATATGGTTAGCTGGTGGAGCTGGAGTTTACCAAACAGTGTGTGGCTTTCAATACGCTGATGCTCTCTATTTTTGTGATGTCACAATCTTGACGGTCGGTTTCGGAGATTTCGTACCTAACAATGGTCTTGGTCGAGGGCTTCTTTTTCCATACGCTGTCATTGGTATCATCTTCCTTGGTCTTATGATCAATAGTTTGCGCAAGTTCGCTTCTGGTATGTCACAGGACAAGATTGTCAAGCATCATACAATGCGTCAACAACAGGAAACTTTTGGTCGGTCTGTCACGAATGAGAAAGAGATCCGCGACCGTCTTGGCTTACCTCCCAAATCCGACATACCTCGTCGTAGTGCAGTTGGAGATTCTTCCGGAGTTTTTGGCTCAGGTTCAATGCGTCGTCCTTCGCTTGACCGGTATGGTCATTTTGATATTCAAGGCCAAAAGATCACTTTCCATCAAAGGAGCTTTTACTCGTCTGGTGGTCGAGGTGGAGCTGGGCTGAAACACAATTCATTCACGCCTCTTAGTCGCGACGCTAAGCTTCTTAAACATGCCGAAAACAAGACTCCTCGAGTAAAGCATGCTAAGCGTCGAGAGAAATTAATTCTGCTCAGAGAAGAAAAGGATCGTTTTGATGCTATGCGCCAGATCCAGACTAATGTCCGAAAATTCAAGCAATACTACGCCCTGTCCATGTCTATTTTCGCTTTCTCAATTCTTTGGTGCGGAGGTGCCACTGTTTTCTGGAGAGCCGAAAAACGTGAACAAGACTTAACATACTTTCAAGCTTTGTATTTTTGCTATGTTTCTCTTCTGACTATTGGTTACGGCGATTTCGCACCAAAATCCAATGCTGGGAAACCCTTCTTTGTCGTTTGGTCTTTGATTGCGATACCTACAATGACGATTCTCATTTCGGATATGAGTTCTACTGTTATAGCAGCCATCAATCGTGGTACATTTACATTAGCCGATTGGACAATTATGCCTAAAGCAGGAGTTTGGCATGATTTTCTCATGAATCATCCAAGAATACATGCATGGTTATCGAAGAAGACCAATGAGAGAGAAGCTAAAAAGCGTATTCGTCATGGTTTCGATGTGCAAAATCCAGATGATAGACAAATACCTATAATTGACGACGTCGAACCAGATCTGGAATCATCTCTTGGTCAGGTTGTTGAGGAAATCGAGGAACCTCCTGAACATACCGAACATGATCTAGCCCGAAAATTAGCAACAGCTATTAAACGCGTCGCGAATGATCTACGAGCTGATAAACCAAAGAAATATAGTTATGAGGAATGGGTGGAGTTCACTCGCTTAATCAGATTCAGCACGCACAATGCAAAGGAAGTTGAAGAGGAAGAGGAAGATGAGGGATTGGTCGAATGGGATTGGATTGGTGAGGATAGTCCGATGTTAGCGGATGTTAGCGAGAGTGAATGGGTATTAGATCGGCTATGTGAGAGTTTGAATAGGTATACGAGACGACAGGGAAGAGTGACGAGAAAGGAACGGGCTGAGATGGATAGGATGGAGGAGAAGGAGAAAAAACATCCTCATAGGAAGGCGAAGCATGATTTGCATTATCCTGCACACCCGGGACCGAGAACCCCATGTCCGGAATAGAAAAGGGGGTCGGGGCGGAGTGGGGTGGGAGATAGTTCGAGATGGAAAGGTGGCTCGATTGATAACCAGGATGAGGATGGGAATGATGATGGAGATGGAGATGATGGGGTGAAACGACATGTTTTCTTTATTGATGATATTGATGACAAGAATACAGAAAGTCACATACCACCTAGGAGTAGCGGAGAGGGAAATGAGAGTGAGAACGGGAGTAATATTCCCGCGAATCCAAGCTCGGGTGTCCCTAGAAGCAGATATGGAGATGGAGATGCAGACAAAGACAAAGACAAAGATACAATCGAAGTCCTGGGGGGCTCTAGTAGAGATTGAGTCACGCATTACAATATAATCTTGAATCAAAGAGGGAAGGAAGTCTTCGAGCAGTGTGTTCAATAGTCCGGCCTACAGGACGGACTAGATTATTTAAATCAAACAGTTAAGCTTAAGTCTAATTATATTTTAAATAATCTGTTTATAATATTAAAATCCCCAATCAGCTGAACTGCTAATTCAAAAGTCCAGATGAACTGAACTGGATAGATCATGTGATTGATATTACTTCACAAATTAGTACATCTTCAACTTTCCAATTCGGTTACAAAGATATCATTGATTTAATAGACTCAATGTATTATGTGCTAATTTCTATCCAGTTTAAAAGTCCGGACTATAGTTTAGACTTTATAATATCAGATTAGGTAAGTTAGTTTAAACAGTATATATTGAATCCTCCCTAATGATCTATGTAGGCCTAAAGAATGCTATTCAATCCGTCTAGCTCGTCGTCCGGACGGAAAACTAGCAGACTATTGGATATACTGTCTTTGAGGGTGTATAGGAGATGAGGTTGTGATGATGAGATATGCTGAATTATTTTGTAGATGGGTGATGGGTGATGGGTGATGGAGTTATCTGCTAGTTAGTTTGTTGGTTGGTTGGTTGGATACTCACTTGTTGAGTTTCATGTATTATAACGCAGAGTCAGATTCACACATCCCATATCATAATCTTATATCACGTAAGATGATAATATCATATCATACATATTACATGGTAAACCCAAAACTCATTTCATTTCATATGAGAATTAAATATTGCTTGAGGCTGATGATTTGATAGTATAGATTAATTATATATATTCTAACGTGGTTTATCAGTACGTATATTATATCAGTATATACATTATTATTTTTATATATAAAAAATGGTCATATATAATCATACACTTTCTTTATTTATTGATATAATTTAATTTTTCCTTATATATATTATATTTATTTATATAAATAATATAAAAATGAATTAAAATAGTAAAATCTTATAATAATAATAAAGTTATTTAAAGAAATAGATTTTTATAATATAAAGTATGATATTCCTGAATTATAATTGAGATATCTATAAAAAGATTAAATTTTATAAATATTTCATTTTTATTATTTATAAGGAAACTTTTTTAGAGAAAAACTAATAATTAATGATTTAAATAAAAATATTAATAAAAGACTAATTTTGATGTATTTTGAAGTGGTGCATATATTGATATAGTATATGTACTGATAAACCATGTTATATTGAATAAATTGAAGTATTTATATAATATGATATGACATGATCAATTACTTTTGGGTAGGTATCTATTTAGTAGAATCATCGAATCTTCGAATCTTCGATTTAAAATCTGATAATCAAGAGATAGAGATTGAAATAAAAATGGATATCAATTAACCCTTCCTTTCCTTTCCTTTCCTTTCCTTTTATCGTCCCATACGCCTAGTATACGTCTTCGCCTTCCATGTCCCGATGTCCCATAAACGATAAACGATAGAACGATGCCATACCTATTAGTTCCTTCCCTCAAATCCACGTAATCGTCAAAAAAAATAATAAAAAAATAAAACAAAATATCCAAACCCAAATCCTAAATCAAAACTCCCGCTCCCAAAAACACAAGCAGCAGCATACCCCAAGAAACCCCCATCTTCGGGACATCGTTCGTACTAGTATTACTGCCAGTAGCGGCTGCGCGCGTAAGACTTTCTGTGCTTTCTGCATTTGCGGTTGTGGTCTCGTTTGTGGAGGAAGTGGAAGTGGAAGTAGATTCACCAGCCATTTTATCAGTGATGAATTTCGCCGCGGCGGTTCCGTAGGTGGTGACGTAAGAGAGGTGGACTTGGAGGGAGGTGCCGGAGTCGCAGAATCTGATTGAGGTGTTAGAGGGGACGATAGAAATTTTTGGGGGTTCGGGGGATGAGGGGATGGTGATGGGGAGAGGGGGAGAAAATAACTTACTCATCCTGATCATCACAATAAGAGACTGTTTTCTCGGCAGGACAAGCCGCGATATTTTGACGGGCAAAAAGTCCATTGTTCTTGGCGGTACCGGCGTTGAATGTTTCGGCTGGGACGTGAGATGGATCGCCCATTAGAACCATTGCCACGACTGAATTTCCGTTAGTCAAGTTCCCTCTTCTTACGTTCCGAATTGCAACAAGAAAAATTAAATCTCACCATTACTACTAAAATTCCCCGACAACGCTTGAGTGTTCCCCGTAAACCCCATTTCAGAAGTCCCACACATAACATCCGCCGCCACCTGTGCTCCCTGCGAATACCCCATGACCGCCATCTTACTCTCAGGACACTTTTCCGCATACGCCTGGACCAATTTCTGCATGGCGGCTACGCCCGAAGCTTCGGAGGCTTGGTATTGCGTGAGTGTAGCTGGATAATCTACGGCTTCGGAGTCGGAGCCGGGGAGAGAGGCTTTGACCATGGTGGCGACGGAACCGATGATTCCTTCGCCCGGGGCTTCGGTGGAGGCGCGGGCAACGATCATGTGGATTGCGCCGGCGGGGACGCAGGTGGAGGAGGTACTAGAGGTGCTGGAGTTTGCGCGGGGGTAGAGGGGAGAGGAGATTCTGGATGCGGAGGCGAGGGTTGTGAGGGCTAGAGAGAGGAGGATGGATGAGGAGTACATTTTGATTCGATTTGGTTTAAATGATATTGAATGGTAATGAAAGAATGGTAGACAGCGCAGCTGGTACTGGTAATTGTATTTTGAAATGAATCGAGTGAAGATTGATTAACCGACGGATGAATGAATGTGTACAAGAATGCTATACTCAGAAATCAACGAGAAATAGATCATATATAAGATTTCCCAGCCCTATAAGTTCATCAATAAGAAAGACGACCCTTTGTAGTATTTTCGTTACATTTCCGTTTTTGGGATATCTTCACGAATTCTAATTCAGACCGCTATGTCGAGCGATGGAAACCATCCCGTGTAGTGGCTGAACCCAAGCACTTGTAGTGGATCGTCCGCACTCCCGGGCATGATCAGACTGAAGAATTTGAGACTAGAGAAGCACTTCCACCAAAGTGTTCTCTCGCAATCAAACCCCGATTAGGAAATACCTAGGTATTATTGTCGCACGAGCCATGGCATGGCACATATTTAATTGACAAGGAAAACCTTTCTTCAACAAAAACAAGTGATTGAGAGTGCTGTGAAACCAATGGAGATATGAATGCCGTGCGTTTCAATGCCGGTTGTTGTCTGTGCTGGGAGGTTTAGGATTTCAGATGAAGAGTAGGAAGAAAAGGGCTTGGATGCAAATGAGCCAATCGCAACTTTGTTTTTGATCTGGTGGAACATTGATCTCCTGTAAATAAGTTGGAAAGATTTCCAAGACTATCTAGGAAAGTCGATAATTGTCCTTGTGTACCCATAAATCCCGAGGTTACATTGACAACATTGTGGATGGGAGAAAATGCTTCCAATGGGGATTTGAGATGTTAGTTTCTACTGACTGAAGGCGCGTAATATATTTCAAAATAAGTGGCTCTCAATCTCATGTTATATATTTGAGATATAGAATCACCCAGCCTTCGAGAACTGACAATTGATGTGGCTTTTGCTATCAACCATGCGGGCAGCTTTCAAAATGGTGAAATGTCTGCTTGCCCAGAATTTAGATCTTGTCAAAATTTGTGGTGAGCGTCGAGAAATATTTGACTGTCTGTCAAATTCATCAACGATGTACTCTACTCTATTCCAGACGGGGATGCAACAGTAAGACCCAGTAAGTCCACTTGGATCTGTTCACAATGGTAGTTTATTACGACGAACAAATTTGATGAAGTTGACATATAGCATATTGATTATGGTTATGCTATCACCCTTGAGACATCTGCGGAGCAGTTGTTGTCTGATGAGTACGTCTAAGAATCCACCAGTATGAGGAAAAAGTAGGTACAGGTCATACACGATACTCATTAAACTGTCGTTGGTGATGTATAAGAACGGTACATTTGGAACTTCTTGTGAAGCAAGTCGAAAAGTATATCGCGATAGGAGGCTCCTCAGTGGCAAGATAATATCCTAGTTACAACCCATATTAAAGCAAGAGACTCGTAAAGGAAAATGTACCTCAACAACGTTAACAACACTTGTACCTTCTGCTCCAAATGCTCGAGTGGTTTTGTTCATCTAATGATGTACTGCTACTAGGATATCGAAGAACTATCTTCAGTATCGATAGAGTAATTGGAGACGGTGTAGACATACTCGATACAGATAATCATGTTGCTGGATTTTTTATGATTAGATTTGGGCCGGGATCAATTGAAAATCTAGCTTACTCCGAGTACCGATGTTGGACTCCGTCACGAACAGTATTGCTATTCCTCTATCAACTTGTCTCATCTCGACACATCTTTTCAATTTCTCTCATCATCTTCTGAGTCCTACATACAAAATTCAAATAGCTATCATTACAATGCGATAATTCCTCACAGAAGTCTATAAACGCAATATATATGTCGATCCGCAGAGAGAACGGACACGAAGTTGTCCCACGAAGACGAAATGGCAAACAGCCCGCGTGTGAGCCATGCAGAAGAGCAAAAAGTTCTTGTGATCATAGTCTTCCCGTATGTGATCGATGTAAGCGACGGAAAGCATCGGCAAAGTGTGTATACCTCTCAGCACCTATGGCCCGTCGACCACCTACAGGGGACTCCAATACCAGTAGGGAGCACGAACATACTACCGGTATTCTATCAACCCCCACTCCCACTCCCACTCCAACTCCTTCTATTATATCTTCACATGATCATCTGCTTTCGCCTGATAGTAGGCCTACAGAACCAGGAAGAATACAATCCGGGGGTTTCTTTGGCCCAACAAACTTCTCCGCTGTATTCGAGGAAAATCGGGATAATATCGGTAACGATATACCAATCTCCAATGACTCTGGTGCGCTTCCATCTTATGACAGTCTCCAGAGTCATAATTTTCTCATGCTACCCGGAAATGCATTGGGAGGATCCCCACGAATCCAGCTCGGAATCAAGATCTTGCAAAAACTGCCTGACAAACGAACATGTGACCATTTGCTAAGATGGTTTTTGGAAAGGATGGGCGAGTGTAGTTCTTATACCCCAAGACAGATTTCAGTACAAATAGCACATTCGTTGTGGTCCCAGTGGGGAAAGGAATTCAAGGAACCAAGACTTCTCGATGATATGGAACGTATATCTACGCATCTATGCAGGAACTCCGAGCATCATCTACAGGAGGCAGAGGATTACCAACCCTGGTTAGATAGTATTACAGGACCTAATATGAGATGGGAATCCGTGGGACTCATAATTGCAGCTCTATGTCAATCCATTTTGTCACTTTCTGAGAGAGATCCCTTCTTCACAACTCAGCCTGGGCAAAGGAAAGATCGAAAACATTTCGCTCTAGAGTTAAAAGATTGCATTCAAGCTTGTGTTACATTGTCTAATTATATGGACTACATTAATACAGTCATGGTAGGACTTTTGACACAAAATCTTATTATTGCTAATGTGATTATGGGCGATGCGAGTTTGATTGTCTGGAGACAAATAGGAGATTTGGTCAGCATGTCAACAGCACTTGGTCTGCATCGCCAACCAGATAATGATGGACCCGTCACATTCTTATCCGAGTGTAAAAGACGTTTATTTACAATAATATTCAATGTCGATAAAAGTTCTGCTCACCTTACAGGTCGTCCACCAGCTCTAAGTTACCGCTATACACGTTTCCGCTTCCCTCTTGACATCGACGAAGCAATATTTGCTCAAGGTCCCGAAGCACTAAGAAACGCGGCGGAGAAATTAGACGCCAATGGCTGGAATCAAGAAGGCAGATTGACAAACGCAACGTACATTCGGGCTTACGGTTATCTCACCATAATCACCGATGAGATCCTCGAATTATCTCTCACCGGTAATATCAGCGATACCCGCATTACCGATCTTCTAGCCCGTCTACAAGAAACCTACGATAGTTTCCCCTATTACACCCATTACCGTCCCAACGACGTAAACTCTCCTTCAATATCCGACGGTGTACTATGGCGTCGCATCGTTCTACGACTCACATACCTCGAACAACGACTCACGCTCGAACGACTCGCTCACAAGTCTCTCCTTCTCTCGGGCCAATCCATGATCTCCTGCGCTCTCGAAATGCTCCAGCTGACCGTTCTCTTCTGGGTGCAACGCGATCGCTTCGTCGAACACCATCACGATTACGATTGGATGCTTATGTGTTGGGGTGTTCCCTCCAGCGGCGTCTTGTGTGTCGAAATCCTTAAACAGATGAAAGCCCCGCAGGAATCGACGATTAAACTCCCGACCTCGGAAATTGTGCAGAATTTAAGTTTGTTGGTGGGGTTTTTTGAGTGGATTAAACCCAGTGCGGGGAATTATTTGCTGTGTGGACGCATGAGTAAATTGGTGAAGAGGATATTGGATCAGATTTTGAATCAGCGGGTTGGTGGGCGTGGGCACTCGCAGGGACAGGGACAAGAAGGGGAAAGGAGTGGCATGGGCTTGGTTGAGGATGGAAACGTTGGGTTGGGAGGTGAGAACGGAAATGGGAATGTAGATGTGGGTATGATGGGAGTAGACGATATAGATGCAATAGGTGATGATGTGGGAGCATTTGGGAATCTGGATTGGTTGAATGAGTTGGATTGGAGTAGAGGACCTTGGATGAATTTAGATGGTCTTACTTGAAAGTTGATACAACATTTAGGTAATTGTTAATTTATGATACTCAGAGATCATTGTAGAGGCTCACGAGTTTCAGGATTACAAGCGAGGAATAACTGGTATATAAATCGATGAAAATATACCGAGCATAATTACAATTTCGGCCCAGACTCCGAGTCCAAGGATGTGAGAGGACTGTATACCAGGTAAGCGCAATCTCTTTAATACTTCTGTAGATGACTTTCAAGAGATTAAGAATCCTATACTAGTCAATCATAAGGTCCTACCTCCAATAAAAATACACAGAGCATGTTATATTTCAACTCCAACCAAACATCTCCTCTACAAAAAACCCCTCCCCATTGCATATCACACACACAATAACAAAGAAGCTATCTCCATACTTCCATCCATCCATCCATCAATCATCCTTCCAAGTTCCAACCCATTCCCAACACACAACAAAGAACTTTTCCCCTTCTAATCTCATCTCAACTCTAACCATTCCCTCATTCCCTCATTCTCAACAGTTGTAATGAATATATTTATATATAACGTGGTTCATGAGCATATAGGCCATATCACTATGTGGACCACTTCGAAAATACATCAAAATCAAGGTTTTCTTGATATTTATATTTTAATAATTAATCATTATTTTTGAAAGAAAAAATAAATAAAAATTATAATAAAAATAAAATATTTCTAACATTTAGATTTTTTTCTAAATAATCCATTTTAACTTGAAATTATCACGCTTTGCGTTACAAAAACTCTTTTTCTTTAATAACTTTAATAATAATTGAAATTGTTAAAAAAAAAATTGATTTTTGAAATAATTGAAAAATTAGGTTTTATATAAGAAGGTTCAGAAAATTCTATTGACTAATAAAGAAAGTGTAAAATTATATATAATCGAATTTTGTATAGAAAATGAAGTAGTTTATATAGTAATATAATCTATATGCTAATGAACTACGTTATAGGAATATATAAAATATATTCTTTTCTATTATCTTCTTTCTTATTTTTCCTAAGATTAAAGGAAACCTTTAAGATTACAAACAATCAATTACTCTTTAGATCTTATTAAAATAAAAACTTTAAATTCTTTAACATAATTTAATAAAGAAAGTAATATTTAATAATTAAATTATATATCTTATAATACATAGTCTATTCCGAAAAGCAATATATTAGTAATTCAATAATAATATTAGATTATAATATAATAAAAGTTAACAATAATATTATTAGATCTAATTATATCTGTATTTGTTTATATATATAATTATAAAGATTATTTCTTTAAAAATATTCTATCAGACTCTATATATTTGTTATACAAGCTATAAGCTTTTTTCTTA